TTCCGTGTTGTGTGTTTTGGATTCCTTAGGCCTGTCTCCTTCTCTCTGTGATAACCAGTTTTCTGGTCTTGAAAATCCAAGAGCCTATGTCAGTGCTGACAAGAGAAACCTCTGTAAATAAGACAGAGATAATGTTGCATTTTCCCTTGAGCTTCAGAGAAAAAGCAAAGGGCACTGTGTATGATAAAAACGTTGTTAGTAAAACACTTGGAGTTAGGTAATGATGCTGTATTCTGTGAAAGTAACCCTGGTCCTGAAAAACGTCTAACTCTGGTTAGTTGACTTAAATATGTTTTGTCATGGAAATAAAATTGAAATTCCTGTTCTCCGGAAGCTATAAATACACATGTCTTTTCAGTTTTAAGCCAGAAGGGAATCACTAAACTTTCCTTTTCTTACACTTGCATGTGGAATAACAATTTGGATGGAGCTCTTCCTTAAACATAGAGCTTGAGTGTCTTGAATCCATGAAGAGTGTCCAGAAGCGTAGCCTACTGTTCTTTGAGCCATGAGTGCTCAAGTGGCATTCTCTTCCGCCACACACTCCCGTGTCTCTAGTCTTAAATTCTTTTTTAAACTTAAAAAAAAAAAATCTTGTAAGTGTGGGGTTTCCTGTGGTTGCTGAGAAATAACAGACTAAAGCTTGCTAATTCCATCTGTTTTCGTGATCAACAGGCATAGTTCTGCCCTTGACTTAGGGCCACTGTCGTGTGTCCTGAGGTGAGCTTGAGGTGAGCGTGTTGGTCACACTCTAGGTGATGTCATCTTAAGTGTACTGGGCATGGTGTCTGGTTCCTCTGCCTGGGACCCTCAGGGGAATGATTGATCCTCTGGCCACAGCACACAGTCAATAGATCCTTAATGGATAGATACGTGTGTGTGTGTGTAAGCAAAATTCTATTTCTCCGGGGTCGTAGCCACTGCAAACATGAAGTACATCAAATTCCAAAAACAGGATCACTTGTAACAATCTATGTGATGACCACAGAATTCATCAATGAAAGCTGGCTGACTTCTCTCTGCTATTGTCACTGCCACACGAGATCAATGAGCAGAGGGCGAAGGTGGGAAGAGCACCTTGCTTGCTTTGCTTCTCCCACACTCTGTGCTTTCTTCGATCGCAGTGCTTGTCAGGATGTAGGATAAACAAGCGTTTCCTCTCCCGTGTCCTCCTTGGTGCTGTGCATAGTGCAGGAGCAGGGGCTATCTTGTGCTTTTCGTATAACCTGGTTAACTTAGCACAATGCCCGGCACCTGAGGATAATGGGAGGATAACTCAGTAAATGTCTGTTCAATGAAAGGAAAGTCTCTGAAAAGAAAAGGAAAAATATGTGACTAGGTAAAGGCTAAATGTTTGTAAAGCGCAACTATAGAAAATAGGCTGCGCAAGGAAGAAAACCTTTGCCCCACATCTTTGGCTCAGTCGACCCAGACACTCAGCCTCTCATGTTGGAATGAAATAGTAGAAACTCCACTCTCCTAAGTCTTATATCACTTATAGCGGAACTTTTAGAGAAGCACACGTAAAATAAAAAGAAGCCCATCTGGTGTTATGAGTATGTATTTGGGGGGTGGGGAGAGAAAGCATAACACAAACAGCACACCTATCATTTTTATTACACAATCCATAGAAAGTGAAGATTTACAAAATCTTTTTAGTCAAAAGGTTTATGAAAAAAGATTGATTTTTCCAACTGGAGGAGTAAAGACCCCAGGAGGGACATGAGTTTTTTATGTTTGTCTAACACAAGCTGAGGTTTTAAGAGGCTGGGAAACAATAACTTGGCCTACGTCTGTTCCTGAGGCCCTGGGCTTGTTCTGGAGAGCTCCAGAGTCAACAAAACCCAAGGGCTCTGGGAAGCAGGGTAATAATTCCTATTACTGCTTGGATCTTACAAGCCTGGGGAGAGAGTCCCACAACTCAGCCGGGTATCTGAAGCTTCCTTAGCTTGTCTTTCTCGTCTACCTTCTCTCGCCCCAGACAGAGTGCAGAGTTCGTTGCCTCTTCTATAACTGGATCTTCACACAGCCATTTGCTGTTTCCTCCACTCTTCCCAGAGCACAAACTCTTGCCAGCAAACTTTTCTTCAGGCGTTCTCTCCTCTTAGCCTATGCATTAATAACCAGATGCGCAGCCATCTGATACTCTCTTCTACCCACAACTCTCAGTGGTATAGCCCTTTGAACTATATAAGGTGCTAATACATTCACAACTCTTTATAAAGAGAGAGAGAGAGAGAGAGAGAGAGAAAGCATGAGTAAGTGAGAGAGAGCTACAAGTCGGGTGCAGAAATGGCCCATTCTGCAGGCCATGCAGGTGGGTGCTCAGATCCCTCTGCCAAGGAACCTGAGTCTCATCATGTCTCTTAACATAAGAACTGGTTTACAGGAAATACACAGGATTGAGAAATGTGGGAAATGATACTAAAAGGGTTCCATCAGCTGAATGTGAGAAAATTTCCAGGATGGGTGGCTTGGTTTCTTTAATAACTGGTGTGTGAGAAGAGCAAGGAGGAACTGGTATAAATGAAATGAGATTTAGGGACAAGTCAATCAGAGGCAGTGTATGGATTTTGCTTGGCTCCCAGTTTAAATAAACTCACTGCCAAAAGACATTTTTCAGGCAATCTTGGAAATTTAAAAACAACCTTAATATAAGATGATATTAAGGAATCTTAAATCTAAGATTTCTTATCTGAAGTTCATTTAAAAATGATTATTGTTGGGGGTGCCTGAGTGGCTCAGTCAGTTAAACATCTGACTCTTGACCTCAGCTCAAGTCTTGATATCAGGGTTGTAAATTCAGGTCCTTCTCTGGACTCCACATTGAGCATGGAACCTACTTTAAAGAAAAAGGATAATTATTAATCCTTTTTTTGAAGTATAAATGGAAGAAATAGTGTTATGCTTAGCATAATACTATTAAAAATGTATTAAAAATGAAATATTCCAGGGGTGCCTGGTAGTTCAGTAGGTTGAACATCCATCTCTTGGCTTCAGCTCAGGTGGTGATCTCAGGGTTGTGAGATGGGGAGCCTGAGTGAGGCTCTGTGCTCAGCATGGAGTCTGCTGGAGATTCTTTCCCCTCCCTCTGCTTCTCCTGCCCTCTTCTCTTTCAAAAATAAATAAATAAGTAAATACATACATACATACATACAATCTTTTAAAAAAAATTATAGCAAAAATACCCACAACAAAAACATGGAGTGTGTGTTTGTGTCCATACTCATAGAACAGAATTGGCAAAATCTGAAAATTCTTAAACTGTTTGACAAGAACTCAGAGGTTCTATTTAACTAATTTCTCTGCTGCTGCAAATATTTCAAAATTTCTACAATAAAAAGTAAAAAGCATTTTTCTTTTATTTTTATGTATATTTTTAAATATTTTATTTATTTATTCATGGGAGAAGCAGGCTCCATGCAGGAAGCCTAATGTGGGACTTAATCCGGGGACTCCGGGATCATGCCCTGAGCCAAAGGCAGACAGACGCTCAACCGCTGAGCCACCCAGGCGTCTTCTTTTAATTTTAAAAAGTAAGAGAGCAGGAGGTAGTCAATGACAGTGTTGAATTCTAATGAGGGATGGAACAAATGAGTAAAATCTCTGAATTAACTTAGTGATTGGTGGTCATTGGGAATGTTAGTGAGAGTTGTTCTGTGGTCAGATGGGAGTAAAGGGCAATTTAGCATTGAAAATAATTTTTTTACCCAATGGAAGAGACTTAGACTTCTAAAAATCTGATGCAATGAAATGTTGCATATACAAAAGAAGGAGAATGTTACCAATAGGGCAATGTTCCCAAGAAAGCAGGAGATGGTGAGAGCCAATGCATGGGGTGGGCATTGACCTTGGATGGGAACAGGGCTGCTTCCTTACTAGAAAAAGGATGGAATGAATGGATGCAGATGTAGGCAGCTGATAGACTTGATCAAAAAGAGAGGAGAGGGATCCCTGGGTGGCGCAGCGGTTTGGCGCCTGCCTTTGGCCCAGGGCGCGATCCTGGAGACCCCGGATTGAATCCCACGTCGGGCTCCCGGTGCATGGAGCCTGCTTCTCCCTCTGCCTATGTCTCTGCCTCTCTCTCTCTCTCTCTCTCTCTCTCTCTGTGTGTGTGTGTGTGTGTGTGTGTGACTATCATAAAAAAAAAGAAAAGAGAGAGAGAGGAGATTTTCTCTCTGATGACCTCTGTTTTTTTGTACAAAGTAGAGGGAGAGTTCAGAGTAGGAGACCCCACAAAAAAAATCCCACAAAAAAATACGTAGAATTTCAGGACTGTTGATGGCTGACTTGTAGTTACATCAGCCCTCCTGTGATGTGACCTTCTCGGTAGCACTCAACTGTTCAGGTGCTGGCCTAGAGAAAGGGTGCTCTCAGGTAGAAGTTTTACTTAACAGGATACAAAAAGAAAGAGAGAGAAAAATGGTGTTTAGGGCATTTTAGGCATTATTATTGATCTAATTACCATCCAGCTTAAGCTGGGTGTGAAAGGAAATTGGGTTGGTTGGTGGATTTAGAGAAACTAGATGGGTAATGGAAATAGATCAGAAGCCAGGATGTCTGAGAATGTCATTGGGGAGCCTGAAGGGACAGAGTTGTGATCAGAGAATGGGACGCTCATGTCAACAAGTTTGGAGCTGAGCATTTGGGGTGATATGATAAGACATCAGCAAATTATTGGCAATGAGGGGTGGAGGAGGCCTAATGGCTCACTGGACTGGAAGTCACTCTCACCATAAATGGCAGACCATTCAAGGAGTAGAATTTCCTAACAGTCCTTGCTCCAACATCTGCTGCCTCCAAATACTAAGTTACTATAGTGCAGGGCACTCAGGGAGAAAGGACATCATTTTTTAGTGCTTTCTTAGGGAACAATACACAAGGAAAACGATGTTGTCATTCTAAACTTTCAGAACTCCCTTGCCTAGATACTCCATGCACAATTTTTCATCCCCACAACATTCTTACAATGCAAAGAAGAAGAAAAAAAAGAACAGATAGTAAGATCTATGGAACAGAAAGTTTGTGTTTTATTAAAATAGGTTTCCAGAAGTTAATTGACTCTCATTTGTCTTTTTCAAGCTTAGAAAGAGCCAGCCAAGAGGCCTCTTGGGCAAGGAGGCAGGCCAGGACTCACAGAGCCTAATGCTGCTTCTTGATCCATAATTCTTCCCGCTGGTGGCCAAGCCCTTTTCCAAAAAAATCCAGAAAGGCCGAGCAGAGAACAGTGCAGGGTCAGGACAGTTGCCTGCACAGGAAAGTTTCCCGACCCCGGAGGCCTGGGGCCGACTCCACCACCAGGTTGCTGAGGAACTGGGGCTGCCACACTGTCACTCAGGAGGCCTCAGACCCTCCCACAGGGCTGCTCATGGGACCCCTGCTCCTGGGCGGGCCGAGGCCCAGGGTGGACAGGCCTACCAGACAGCAGACAATCAGCCAGATCATGCCAAGATATGTCCACATCTCCTTTCCTCCTTCCGTTGAATCTCATCCTCAAATGTGAAAGAGCCATGCCACTTGGATCTCCGATTTCTGCCCCAACACAAGCTCAAGAACACCCAGGGGCCTCTTCTTGAGGTTCATTTGGCAGCAGGGCACCAAGGAGAATCAAGAAAACTTCTGCAAAGGATCTGTCTTCATTTCTTTTCAACATTTATAGTGCAGTGTTGTGGGCTAAACACTAAACCCATTAGAAAATAGAGCAAATAAAAACAGTCATCTTTGATTTGAACTGGATAAGGACAACTGGATTACAAAAAAAATTGAAGCAAGGTTTTAAAAAATTGACATACTTAAATATTACAGTACTACTACTGCAAACACAAAGAGATAGTCAAGTGCTTTACAAATGAGACAGTGCCTTTAGGCAAAATGCAAATTTGTAATGGGGCTTTCAAGGCCCAGAGAGGAGTAATTCTCTCAAGGCAGGGGTGCTTCTAGAGAAGGGGGCTGATGATCCTCAGGGCCTTTTGCTAACTGTTGGACAGTCACAGATAAGCCCCCCTTCACACATATCTGAAGACCAAGGAGCATCTTGGAAATACGAAAGTACACTCATCGGTTTTCATTATTAATACATAGACATATCAACCCACAGGGTTATCATCACCTACATAGCATGAACGGGAGCCATGATTGGTCTTAGCAGGATTTAACAACATAATAAATATTTTTTAAATCACTTCAGGATGATGATTATGCTACCTGGAGATATTCAATATGTACTTCAAGTACTCAACCAGACAGAGTCCAACTTTTGCGCAGTGAGTTTATACCATCACGCTTTGGCGCATTCAGGCACGCTCCTCTCATTCAGGAAAATTCCAACAAGGCTTTATTTTGTCACCGATATCCAGATTCTAACAGTTACCATACTGTACCCTGTTCTAGGACTCAGTCTGTTTTCAAGGCACTTACAAAGTTTATCAATGAGGAAAACATTCTATATAGAAAACAGTAACAACTGTATTTTTCTATTTCATTCACCAAGGCCAAGTGTGGTTCAGATACCAACTAGAAGGAAATTCTTTCTTTCATTGCTCCCATTAAACAAATCCATCAAGACTGTATCTGAGATTAGCATGGATTCAGGATCTGGGCAATATTGGGTCCCATAATGTCCTGGCTACAGAAGGTAGATCTGAAAAATTTTAAGGGGAATAAAAAGGATATTAATATGACTCTAGGAGGTAAAAGAGACATGGTTGATCTAGTTTAATGAGTATTATTTTATGAACACTTTTGCAAATATAATGTTGATTTCTTACATAAGTTTTCTTTGTAAGACTTCAAGATGTACAAATTTTTATACTAGTTGCAAATTTCAAATTAAGTTTTAAATACTATTAAAAATTTAGACTCTGAAAATACAAGAGAAAAAGTACTACTTACTCGTATCCGTATTTTCCAGATATATCTGTCACCACTTCTGCTCCCAACTTATTCTGAGAACGTCCAAACAAATGTTCCTTCCAAATGAACTCCATATTTGTGACATTTCCAACATTAACGTCTACATCAATTAATTTCGTATAAGTCATGCCTGGCTTAAGTGTTCCACTGTAAATAGAAAAAAAAAAAAGATTCATAAACTCGCACTGGGTATTCTTGATGCTGAAGTGAAGCCACATCTGTGTGTACCATGAAAAAGGTAGTTATATCTGCTGGCAGTTGCTTACAAGAGATTTAACCTTTTCGTCCACATCAATCAGCATCTTGGAATAGCAGGGTTCTGAAGCTTGAAAGGAAGGGTGAGGTAAATGGGAAGCCTGACTAGTTGATGTTGCGGAATGTCTACAGAGGCATTATCTTGATTGGATCTCCACAATGAAAGGTCTTGGACGTGGCTTTATAGTATCAGAAACCAGATTTTACTGACACCCGGGAATGATCAAACTGTCAACGAGGAGCTAAATTCACAGAAAACTGATCTATCTGTTCACAATGGAGAAATGCTTTCTCTTTATTAACCAAAATGTCCTCCAACTCTCTCCCTGATAACTTCTTTATCTGGATGAAAAGAACTGTGTAACCAAAGTAGTTATCAAAAGATGTTTTGGTGAGCATGGCAATAAAACAGAGAAATGAGGCATAAAGCATCTCTTTTCCAAGGCAAAATTATACCAGATGTGATTTCCCAATTCCTGCTGGTTCCTTCTTCCATTGTTCATTGATTGTCTAGCTCCTCTCACTGGAAGAAAAGCTCCACCAGAACAGGACCTGTGGCTGTATTCCTAGCAATCAGAACAATTCTTGCCACACAGTGGGCATTTAAATGTTTGTTGAGTAAATGAATGAATGTTGCTATTCCTGGGGACTTATTCCATTCCATATAGAATTAATTGCTTTAATTACCAGAAGGCAACTTTCTTTCAGCTTCTTAGCAGTAATCTCCCTATTGCTCCCTGAACTGCCTTCACTCGGTGAACCTATTGTGCAGACCTTCATAACAGTGTCATTAGAAGCCCACATGACTAAACTATAATCCACAGGGAGGGGCCAGACTTGACGCCTAACTGAAAAATAGGAATAGAGAGCATGCAGATGCATTTATCTGACTTCATTTGGAGATGAGACATCTCCTGTGAATCAGAAATGCTGACTTATTCCTAAAACAGGATCAGATGGCTATGCACCAAGATGACAAACAGCTTCCTTACATATACGCAAAAGAAATGCAGGGATGTGAAAATATTCTAATACATTTTTTTTTAAAAATTTATTTATTTATTTGAGAGAGCACATGTGCCAGTGTAAGCACATGGGAGGAGCGGAGGGAAAAAATCTCCAGCAGACTTCCCACTGAGTGTGGAGCCCCAAGTGGGGCTCCATCTCACGACACTGAAATCATGACCTGAGCTGAAACCAAGAGTTGGATGCCCAACTGACTGAGCCTGACTCAGGCACCCCAAAATATTCTTACACATTTTTAGGAGGGTGGGAACTGCCTATTTGTTCCCACCTGCCCCAGGTCAGAGGCCTTTCTGCAAGGCTTAATTAAGTTGCCTAGCCTTAGGCAATATCCTGTGGGCCTCAGAGTCACAGGCATGGGATCCATCGATTGTTTTGAACTGCTCTCTGAGCTTAATGGAGACAAGAAGAACATGTGGAAATGAGATATGCTAGGACAGGGAAGGGTATTGGAACAGAGCAACAGCATGAGTGAAGCCGGGAAGAAAGGGAAGGATGAGATCTAGTCAATGCTGGGTCCTGCAATCAGGGTAATCTAGTTGAGCCGAAGCTGAAAAAGCCAGATGGTGGGAGACCAGGCTGGAAAGGCAGCTGGAGCATATGCACGAACCAGGGTCCAGAGGATCACAGACTGAACTGTTAGATCAGGCAGGTGCAATGAGGGAAGGTGAGGTGCACAATTGGCCAGAATGATTAATCGAATGCATCCTTCAGCTGACAAAATAATCACAGAAATCTCTTGTTTTTCATGCCTTTGCCTACTCTTTGAAGATGATGGAAAGCAAAGAGGCAAAAATCGAATCCATTCATTGGTTTGCAAAAAGGCAGCCTCTAATTAGTGTGCATAACGTTAATTCAGAAACGGATTCAGAATTAAACAACATAAGTGGAATCTGATACAAAAATGCTAAGGCCGACCAAAGAAAAGAGAAAAGGGGGCTTTAGCCAAAGGTACACAGTGAATGTCTCTGCTGAATTATTCCCACCTTTGACTATTCCAACATGTGTCCTATGTGCATGCTATTCAGACAGCTTATTAGAAATCTGGCTGTTTATATAAATGTTTTATTCCATAAGTAATTGGAACCTAAAACAAAATCTGTATAATGTTAATGGACTGGATTAACAATATCTGTTTATTGCCTGCTTGCTTTATTATCTGGATCTATAATTTTATGCCATCATTTTCTACCCTTTCTGTTTGTAGGTGGAGCCATAAAGAAAATAGAGCCTATGATTTCTATTTTATATCTGGAAAACCAGAAGCGAAAAGTCAAATATGTCATGACAGCCTGTGGTATTCTGCTTTGGGAAAAGATGGAGTTGCTGAATGAGCCAGGCTGCCCGAGTGCCCAGCACTGTGCCCCCTGCCACTCTCTAGTCTGGCACTTGCCTACCTGGCCATCACGAACTCTTCCATCTTGCCAGCTGTTCCACCTACACGGAGAAATATGCTCCCCTGAGTGACATTGTTCCCATCAAGTTTGACAGATAATTTGTGCCTCCAACCTGGAAATGCAAGAAAAAAAATAATAAGAGAGAGAGAGAGAGAGAGAGAGAGAGAGAATGAGAGAAAATGAGGAGGTGAAAACATGAGAAAAGCATGACCTCCTGGGCACTTTGATGGGAACACAACTTTCAGCCTTGAACAAGGTAGTTTGAGTTCACGAAAAAGTACAACTTTATATAGCTTGCATGATTTTGGTTTAAAACTACATTTAAAAATACATATAAATGTATGTTTTCATTTTACAGAAGTAAATAGTGTCATGATAGTCTTTAAAGAAAATTCTTTTTTTATTTTTTATTTTTTATTTTTTTCTTTTTATTTTATTTTATTTTTTTTTAAAGAAAATTCTTTAATTTTTCGAAGCATTTTGATGACTTTTTAAAGTGGAAGTATGTGTTTTCTTTCTTCTACTACATTTGTATTCTGCAGCACACATACTTTGCACAGCCAGGATTTTTTGGCTCTGGTTTGGCAGCTAATCCAGAATAAATCTAGAAAACCTATCAGGTTTTCAGGCAAGAGGGCCTGTGCTTTTATAATGAGAGGCAAAGAGAGTTGCCCCTTCCTCTCTCGCTCGCTCTCTCTATGTGCTCAGAATACCCAGTTAGCACAGGCCTGGGATAGCACAAATCCTAACAGAAGAAATCTCTTGCAAGTGGCCAAGTGTCGCTTTGAAAAATCTGGAACGAAACAGATCTTTTACTGTGAATTCTGAAATTGTTGTATGTTTAATAACACGTTGAACAAAACCGCAATTCATCCTAAAATTGTTTGAAAAATGTCTGAAAGGGGAAAAAATCTACCAGAGAGCATTTTCAATTCCTGAGTTAATCGTTGCCAGAGTTCTCCTTCCCTCTTCAGCCTACCTCACTGCCCCCCCTCCACTGAAACCCCTCTCCCCAGACTCCCCGTGATGGAATTGGTGCTTCATCCCATGAGCTCTCGGGCTCTATCTCATCTGACTTCTTAGCATATTTGGTGCAGTGTATGCGTCCTTCCCTTCCTCATGTGTCTTTTTTTCATGACTCATTTTACTGCTCTCCACACCTGTTTCCCTTGTCCATCTGAAACAGATGGAGACTTTCCTCAGTCTCCTTTGCAGGCTCTCTCTCTCTGCTCCCTTCTCCTTTGATTCACATTTCTTGGGTAATTACATCATCCACCTGTGCAGCCCTGATGGCTGTCGACACACAGGTATGGGTCTCACATCTCTATCTGTAGATCACATCAGTAGCCCATATCTCTGACTGCCTTGTGGACATGCCCATCCCCTATCCCAAGGCATCTCAAAACCTGCTAAGTTAGAAACCGAGCCCATCAACTTCCTCCAAGCCAGCCTTTCTTCCTGTGTTATCAAGTTCAGCGAATGGAACATCAGTCACCTAGCCAGAATCATCCTTGACTTCTCGACTCTCTGCATCCCTCAATTCCATTCACCAAGTTCCATTTTGCTTCTATCAGCCAACCACGTCTGCACTTTCTCCTTGTCTCCTACCTTTCTGTCTAGCTTTATTGAGATGTAAACATTGTGTAGGTGTACATCGTGATATACCTATGACAATATATTGTGAAATTATTAGTACTATAAGGTTAGTTAACATACCCATCACGTTACATGGTGGTGAAGGCAACACTTGTCATAACAGGTCATTCTGCCTCCATCTTGTCTCCTTCTAATTCGTGCAGCAACTAGAATGACTTTTTAAGAAACCAATCTGATAATCTTAAGACCTTTCAGGCTTTCCATGCTTACAGATAAAGTCTGAGCTCCCCACATGACACATGATTTCATTATTTGACTTAATTTACTTCTCCTGCCTCATCTCATATTACTCTCTTCCTGGTCTCCACTGTCCTGATAAAGTGTTCTTCTCTCAGATTCAGCTCTCTCTCGCCTCTAGGCACTGATGTGTGCAGTTCCTTCTGTCTGGAATGCTCTCATTTCCTTCTCCTGTGGACTCATCTTTCAGGAATCTACTTAGAAATCACCTTCCCTCAGAAAGCTCCATTGACTTGTGGCAGTCCCTCCTTTGCATGTCTCCTAGCAGAACATTTATGACCTGGGACTGAAACTCCCCACTAGTCTAAACTCACTGTCTTGCTCCTCACTGCATCCTCAGAGTCTGGCCCAATGCCCCATAATTTAGTAGACACTCAGTAAAAACTGTTGAATTTTTAAAGATAAGTGCCTTAAAGCATTACAATAAAATAGAGCTACAATACTTACGGGCAAACGGGGAAAGAGTCCCTGTGTTTAAAAAATAATATGATCTATTAGGTTGCATATTTTTGAGGTGAAATCTATCAGCAAAATGACCCATTGTTGGGCAACCTTCTTTGGGACAATGGAAGCAATTTCCCTGATAAAGAAAATAGGAGGTAGTTAGAAACGTAATTAGAAATGTTGATCTTCAATAAACTCTTTACATTATTAAACTACAATAAAGCTTTGAAATTTAAATAAAGCATATGCATTTAAAAATGACTAAGTTGCCCGACTGTTTTCAAAAAAAAATAAATAAATAAAAACAACCGAGCGGGGAAAAATAGCCTCTTAGAAAAATGAGTAAATGCTATGAATAGATAATCCACAGAAGAGGAAAGTCAAATAGTCGATAACTATGTAAAAAGATGCTCAATATTACTAGTTGTCAGGAATGTGCTAATTAAAACAACATACAATTTCATACTCAGCAGGTTTGCAAAAATAAAAACAATCTGCAACATCAAGTAGTGGTGAAGACGTGTGTAGGATTCTCATTTGCTCCTGATGGGAATGTAAATGGACAGACATTGCAGACAGCAATTTGGTAATGTCTAACAAAGACAGAAGAGTGGGGCCCCTGGGTGGCTCAGTCGGTTATGTGTCCGATTCCTGATTTCAGCTCAGGTCATGAACTAGGGGTCATGGGATCAAGCCCTGTGTTAAGCTCTACTCGTCCTTCTCCCCTCTGCTCCTTTCCCTGCTTGCACTCTCTCTGTCTTTATAAGTGAATAAAATCTTTTAAAAAAAAAAAAGACAGAAATGCACATAAGCTTTGGCAATTTCACTTGTATTACATGACATAAACAAACTTCTGCACAAGCACACTAGCAGACATACAGAAGTGTTTACTGCAGAACTGTTTTTAATAACAAAAACTGCAAACAACCAAAATGCTTATTGGTAGAGAAATGAATAAATACATTGTGACTGATTCCTATAAAATAAATACATTAGATTTACATATATCAATGTAGATCTCAAATTTATAAAATTGAACAACAACAAAAAAGCAAATTCAGAAAGATACAGTATAATACTATTTATCTGATACATTTAGGATTCATTTCAAACCCTGCCTCGGGAAAGGGTGTGAAGGGAATGAAAGGTAGTTCAGTTTGAACTGTATATTTTAAAATCTAAAGCGACACTAACAAAATGTTAACTTTAAAAAATATGGGTAGCTGTGTTTGAATATTTGTTATTTTAGGTTTTGAACAGATTCATAAACCATGAACATTTAAGCTAGGATTATAGTAAAACATCCCATGTGAAACTCTATTTTTAACAAAGAAAAAATTTGTAATAATAATAAAAGGGCTCATATTTATTAAATGCTTGCCACGTGCCAGGCATTTTTAAGCACTTTAAGTGCATTTAACTAATTAATCCTCACAAGCTCTTTATTATTGCAGTGCTTTTAGCCTCCCTGTCTAACAGATGAGGAAACCAAATGTGGAACAGTTAAACAATTTGTCCAATGATGGGTGTCTAGTAAGTGAGGGGACACGGATGTGAACCGGACAGTCTGGTTCTACAATTCCTACTTCATCTTATTTTATTTTATTTTATTTTATTTTATTTTATTCTGTTCTATTTATTTCATTTCACTTCCTTTTTATGGCTGTTTGGGTAGAAGCACAATAGAACACGTCAAGGAAATTGATGCAATGTTCTCTAGATTGTAGCCAGACTTAGCATCCATGTGGCACAGGAGCCTAAGCTTCTCCCATTTCGCAAATTGTGCCCCATTATCTCTGAATATACTGTGATTCTGAGGGCCTCTCCTACCTGCCTTCAGTGTAAGTGCCAAGATCCTCTTTAGCCACACAGAGCAGCATCTGGGGCTGGAAGGAGGAAGAGACGTAGAAGGAGGTTATTGGGGAAATGCTAGTGTTTGACTGCCAAGCTTCCTGAGCATGGCAGGTCACCAGGCCATGCTGTGAGTAAGAACAACTGGCTCCGGAGATGGAGAAGTCGGCCTGAGGGCATCGAGTCACCTTGCTGTGTAAGAGGGGGGAAATGCTTATTCTTGTCCCGACCCTGCACTTATTCACAAAGTGCTATTACTTACAATACACTTGAGCTGGAGACCCCACATTTTTCTACCCTCATAAAACAGGGAATTAGGTCTGTAAAGCATAAGAAGGAAAATCTTTCCACTTCCCACTACAAAATAGATTTTCTTTCTCCTTTTCATAGTGATAACCAAATGAAAAATACATTTAGCTCAGATCTGGCACCGCGTGCTTTATGACTCAAGCAAAATCAGATTTGGTATTTTATCCTTTATTGATCTGTGTGGAACTCCTGTGAGCTATCCATGCCTTAGTTCTGCTCTGTATAAATAATTAAATTTTAATAAAATAATTTTCATGTTCCAAGTAAATAGTAATATGTGTGGTTGTAGCTATTGATTGGTTCAGGCTTCTTGGGGCATCTTTGAAGATGACATTTAAAATATATACACAGAAAAATGTTTGCTCTGGACTTATGCCTGTTACACAGTAGCATCTAATTACTGCATAACAAATGGCCTCAAAAGCAAAATTGGATATAATCTTCAAAAGAGCTGAAACAACCAGAATACAAATAGTTGGTTTAGTTATTTAAACCCTTCAGCAATCCAGCTACAGTTCAGTACTCTGCACAGAGGAAGAATCTATTATTTCCCAAAATGGCAGAAGCATTTTTTTTTCCACATACTCAAAGCACTAGTTTTTAGTTGGCTGATCATGGTTCAAAAAATGACTTATTAATTAAATTCCACTGCAAAATACTTTACTTACCACTTTAAACGATTTGTAGGATCTACAAGGATAAGCAATAAATGCATCAGGATTAAGAATGCTCTCAGTATAAAAGCGATGACTTCGGGCATGGTTGCACTCAAAGAAGGAAACCACCTCTGTGAAGACAATTTCCAATAATTGATTGATACCAATAAACCTATTAACCAATAACTAATAGTATCAACCATTTCTCAGAAAAGTAACTTTAAAAAACCTAGGAGGTCTAGATAGCCAGGTCTTGTGTGTAGACTTGGACACCACACAACGTTTATCACTATCACATATCATTTTCTTTGCACCAAAGAATTCTTTGTGTGAATCTCAAGGGACATTCAAACAGGGTAAATAAACAAATGCAAATGCAAATGACTCTGTTCTGATACTAATATCTTCAACACTTCCTGGATCTTTGACTTAGGGCTTTAAAGCACTTAGAGCTTTTTCAGTATCTTGTGCATACAGCATTTCTACCTTAGACCAATTAGTTCTCTGTCTCCCTGTTTCTGCAGGAAGACTGAACTCCCTCCTATTTGATCACAAAACAGCAACGTTAACCAATGCACACTTTCGACTGAGCTTCAAGGTGTGACAAGTGAGAGGTATTATAAACAATGCTAAAGATAAGATAGTTTTGTCATTGTCAGGCATGCTATTTTTGCCACTAATAGTTTGGCTTGTTGCAATAATAAATAAGATAGATCTAAATACGTTTTTGCATTCTGAAGTTATCATAGTATTCTAGTCATTTATGCTATGTATCTTGTATAGCAACATCTTTGATGTCTGCCATAGAATATTCTTTCAATGCCCTACACAGCTCATTTGATTTTTGAGAAACTAGATTTTGTTTTAGTATGTGTGGTAGATCATTATACTATCAGAGTGACCTCTAATGAATCACTGTTTTTAAGTTCTTACCCCTTGGCAATAACAGATTATCTTTCTTCCCTTCAAGAGCTGGGAGCCTTTTTTTTTTTCCCCCACTCCCCTACCCAATTCTGGATTATAAACTAGGCCTGTGACTTGCTTTGGCCAACAGAACATGGAGGAATTGACTTTAGGCAAGTTTAGGTCCTCAGAGTCTTAAAAGACTTTCTAACATCCACTCTTGCTTTCTTAGAACCCAGCTTGTCTGTTAAGAAATCCTGTTTAACTGGCTGGGAAGAAAGGCCCTGAAGGATAACAGGCCACTTCACAAGGAGAACCAAGACCACAGACGTGGAACACCATGCTGAACCCTCTCACCCAGCTTAGTCTGGAGCAGCTCCCAACTGGATGCCATCACATGACTCACATTTCACAACAAAGTCTCTGCAGAACTCTGATTGCATCTTGAACCTCAGAACAATGGGCAATACCATTGCTCTTGTAAGCCATGATGGTTTGTCATCCATTAGATAACTTAGGGTAACTTCAGAAAGCAGAGATCAATAATTGGCATCATCTTTTTTTTTTTTTTAAACGAGGACATCTCTTACATCAGGTGTCTTTATATTCAGATTTATATTCATAATTAATTGTAATGTAGACAAGATGGTTCATTAGCATATAGGGAAATATAAATTTTATTTTTATTTATTTATTTATTTATTTAAAATTTTTATTTATTTATGATAGTCACAGAGAGAGAGAGAGAGAGAGAGGCAGAGACATAGGCAGAGGGAGAAGCAGGCTCCATGCACCGGGAGCCCCACGTGGGACTTGATCCCGGGTCTCCAGGACCGCGCCCTGGGCCAAAGGCAGGCACCAAACCACTGCAACACCCAGGGATCCCTATAAATTTTAAAAGTAAATGATTTCTTAGTAATAAATATAATGTAAAATAGAATATCTTAATGTCTTCAAACTCATCTAAATCATAAAATGAATGATACATACACTTTAAATAGAGTTGTAGGAAGTTTTATGTCTTAAAATAGTTTATGATCAATGTATTTTACTTGAATTAATTCTTTAAGAATTTCAAACATTCTGTGTATGTACATAGTTATATAAAGAAATTTATGATCTATATTTTATCCTAATAGAAAGGATTTTAAGTCATAACATAGAAAGTAAGAAGAGAAATAAGTTTTATAATAGGTCTTATTGGAATGAATTTTGTTCATCTCTTCTAGGTGGAATTGGCTTTCTCATTTTGAGTATCTGTAATTTACTAGTTATTGTTTCTTTTCTTCAATAGGCATCGCAAACAGATACTTCTAATCACATTTACTTTACAGAACAGATATTAAAACTTTGCAATTTGTCTCTAGAGGAGAGGAAATTCCAGCTACTCTCAATGTCATGATCTGTGTATCTTCTCACTACAGCAGCCAATTGGAGGGTCCAATAATTACACCGTCAAGATATTCTGACCATGTGGAATCAGATGGTGAGATATTTAGGGTCATCGATTTATTACCATATCATCATACATTATATTATTATGTATTTATGTATTATGTATTATACGTTTCACTATTTACATCATGATGATATGTAGATCCAGAGAATAATGAAATTCCCAAATAATAACTTTTGGTGTCTTATTACCAGGGTTCTATAGATAGTATTGTCATTGGAAACTATAATAAAGGGTTAAATACTCTTTGTTTAATTTGTGATTAATGTGTGATCCGTAGTGATTCTGTTAAAAAGTAAGTCAAACCGTATCTCTCTTCTGCTCCAAATCCTCCCATGTCTCCCATCTCACTTGAGTAAAAGCCGAAATCTTTACTGTGGTCCATAAAGCCCTGTATTATCTCCCTCTGCCTCTTCTCTAACTGCATGCCTACTACTCTGTCCTTTAAATTCACTCCAGCCACAGTAGGCTCCTCACTGCCATGAACTTCCCAGGTAGGCTCCTGTCCCAGGCCCTTTACACTGGCTGCCCCCCAACCACTGGCCTGGAATGCCTTTTTCCCAGGTAGCCATGTGGCTAATTCCTTAACGTCATCTTCTCAGTAGGAACTCCCTGGCCACCCTAACAAAAATCTCCTTTCCTCACTCAACCCCCATTATCAACAACACTTCATATTTCACTCTATGCTTTGTCTTCTTACTGTATTATTGTTTTTCCAGCAAATTAGAATATTAGCTCCATTATGGAGGGGTTTTTTGTTTTGTTTTGTTTTGTTTTATTTGTTTTTCTAGTAGACAATGATTTTATTGCTTGAGTACATAGCCAAATTTATGCGACCAGGGCAGAGGCTGTGGATGACTCATATTTCCAATTGGTGGGGAGGACTCGTTTGGTCTTATAATAATCAAACCAATTGGTGAATACAGCTCTCAAACAGAATCAGTCGGAATTTGGCAACCTTATCCTTTCTTCTGTTCCTCTCAAGATGCTTTCGAACAGCAACAGCTTTCTTAATCAAATGGTACAGATCCTCAGGGAGATCAGGTGCAAGTCCCTTGGACTTAAGAATTCTCAAGATTTTATTGCCTGTCACAAAACGTACTTGTGCAACACCATGGGAGTCTCTCAGGATCACACCAATCTGCGAGGGAGTCAGACCCTTCTTGGCCAGTATGGACGGTTTTTTTTTTTTTTTTTTTTTTTTTTGTCTTTTGTATTCATTCCTATATCTACTGTTCCCAGAATAATGCCTGGCACATAGTAGGCACTCAATACATCTTGCTGAATGAATGAACATATCCTCCTTGTTCATATTGAGTGACTACAATATGCTAGATATTCGGATAGGCTCTGGGGATACAAAGATAACTAAGACACAGACCCTGATCTTGCAGAGCTCACAACTGTTGGGAGCTTTCTACATGTGACTGTGTTTTGCACTACCGTATATTTTTATATTATATTATGTGCAAAAGAGTATGGAACCTGTCCAAGGCAGGAGCTAAGTGAATGTTATAGCAGCCAGCTTCATATTTTAGGAAGCATTTACCTTCCTTGTAAGCACTGAAATCAAAGCTAAATAAAGGTGTAATTAAGTCTTCACATCCTGGCATGTGCTTCCCTCCGTTCGGGTAAAAGTCAAGGTGACCACAAGCATTAATAGTTCCGGCACCTGAAATAGGTAAAAACAGGATAAATGCTTCTAAAATTCTTTTCCATGCTTCAGTGTAGTTTCCGTTTGTATTAAAAACTCACCAAACTCAAAGAGCAATCGAACTGCATTTGTATGAATAACATCAACAAAGTTGGCATCCGAGGGGTCCAGCCTAACTTCATTTGGAGTATTATGGAAATATGGCCCGGCTGGGTCCAATCCTGGGAAAAAGCATAAACGCCCATTAAACCAAGACATGTTCTATACAAGAACACATTCATAGTGTGGTTATTTTGGAAGATAGATGGTGAGGGCAAGGTATTCTTTCCTTTATGATTTATATAGGTCCAACACCACCCAAGACAAATTACAGACACATAAATTGAGTACATACATGCAGGTCTATACATTACAATGTCAGATTCCTATACACAAGTAATGCTGTGTCCAGACAGTGTCAAAACAAGTAACAAGGTCAGAAAAAAAATCAAATTCTAGGGTCTGTACACAGATTACCGTATACATAATTAAAGTTATGGATTGCAGATGATCTCAAAAGTAATATCTGTATACAAAAATATAGATAAAAGTAAAAGATAAGAGTTCTTCAGTATGTAAACATCAATCGACAAAGCAATACACTTAAACTTAGTTTTCAGCTATGGCTCACTTATTTCCACTTCATTCCATTACAAATGAAAGGCCTGATACCCAGTGAAGCGAAGTGACTTGATAAGGTCACCATATATTGGAGGCAAAATGGACTAAAAGCCCAAATGTCTAGGCTTCAGCCGACTGTCTCATTTTCAGACATCTAATAAAGATAAAGGTAAGACACCTAGAGGTCTCCAGGATGTTATGACCATTCACATATCCATTCATTTTTCACATTTGACAATTATTTTTCAAGCACTATTATTAGGTTCAGCATTTGGGTACAAGGAATAAGGCCTAGTCTTGTGCTTAAGGAGGTTTCTGTTTGATGGGGAAAGCACCTTGATCCAGTGCACTCGGTGCAGAGACAGAGGTAAGCATAGGTATTATGCAAGCATAGGGAAGCAACAAGGAAAACAGTCTTAGAAAATTGGGGCATGCTTCTGCTGGAGATGGGAAATACGAGTGGAGACCTGAGGAACCAGAAGAGTCAGCCAGGGTAAAGAGGGGTCAGCAGCATGCCAGGGGTGAGAAAGAGACTCTTCGAGGCCTGCAGGTGAGACAGTTAAGCACTTCTGGGAAACTGTAACTGGTGTTCAAGGGCTGGTGCACAGAGTTTTAGAATTGGATGGAAGAGAAAGATAGCATCATAAGCAGGAGCCAGATGTAATCTGAACCATGCAAAAGGGTTTGGACATCATCTGGTTGGCAATGTGAAGCTCTTACAAGTTTGCAAAAGGGGAGATTTACATTTTAGCAAAATCCCTCTGCTTTAAAGTAGAGACTGGATCCCAGAGTGGAGAGGACTCAGAGCAGGGTGGCAGCTGACCCCTGTGGAAATGTGGCAGGAGTGAGAAGTGAATGTTTGTGCACCAGGCTTACAAGACACAACAGTCTGAGAATCAATCTTCAACTCCAGGAAGTTTGTTTGGTTGTTTAGTGTGTACTCACTGATTGACTGCAAACTTCTGATGAGGTCAAGAGCCCTGCAGAGATGCATCCAAATATAGGAGACACACCTCAGACTCTATTGATCAGAGGACAGGCAAACAGCAGGGAAGTGGGGTCCTGCATTTGTGCTTCTAGGATGTCTCAGGAGGAAAAGCAACAGAAGGTTCAACTTATGCATGTCCTAAAACCTATCATTTAATTTCGCTTTTGACTGATTTTATAATAAAGCTACTATCTCTTTCTTGAAATTTTAGTTCTTTGTTATTCAAGGAACATGACTGTTCAAAAACCAACCAATTACAAGGAATATAGATTGCAACATCCAAATAATAGCAATCTTCAGACTTTCAGAGAGCCTTTAAAAATGTATTGTTTTCTATTTACTCAATGGGATAATTCACTCGGAAGGAAAAATTGGGAGTTGATAGTATCTGATTTTTGAAGTCAAAATTGAGAAAAACAAAATCTTCACAAATTTATGGTAACCCTGCACAATTTTTAATACATGAACAGCAATGTTCCTCCCTTTCATTTATGGCTGAAATGCTTACAGGCTGTTCAGGCCCCAGGAACTTCCATCTTCACAAATGTGCCCATTTCTCCTTTTCCCTGTGCTTGAAAACTTAGAGCAAAGGGGGATTTTTGCTATCCGGCAACTTCAGAATAAAAACACAATTTTATGGTACCAGAGAAGAAAGGTGGCAGTTGGCTGGCATTGGGGCTGGGATTTGGGAGCTGGGAGAAAGAGGATGCTTTCAGCAGGAAAAGTCTGCTATACCAAGAGGCTGCAGAGGCAAAGCATTCTGCATGTAATTTGGAGTTCTGAACTCCTTTTAGAAAAAAATACTTCAAGTTCAAATTTGAATTTAAAGCATAGGTATAGGGCAGCCCCCGTGGCACAGCGATTTAACGCCACCTGCAGCCTGGGGTGTGATCCTGGAGACTTGGGATCGAGTCCCACGTTGGGCTCCCTGCAAGGAGCCTGCTTCTCGCTCTGCCTGTGTCTCTGCCTCTCTCTCTCTCTCTCTCTCTCTCTGTATCTCTGTGAATAAATAAATAAATATTTTTTAAAAAATAATAAAATTCTTTAAAAAAATAAAGCGTAGGTATATGTGTGTATATATGTCCACAGAACTACAGTTTATTGTTTTAAGCAGCAGGAAATGTGCACTTACTATGTGCCAGGCTTGGGGAGGGGTGGTGGTAAGGAAGATTTTCTTAGTAGCTCAGAGTCTATCAAAATAAACAGATGAATGAATATATATATATATATATATGTATATATACACACACACACACATATATATATATAACCATGCAATACAAGAGTTGCATTTTTGGATACAATAGAAGCATATTTCATAGGATATGGGAAGTACAGAGAATTAACTCTGCCTGAGGAAGGCGACTTTGAAATAAATCTTGAAAGATGAACAGTGGCCTTTTAGGGCAAGGGGCAGTAACATTGCCAAGACACAGAAATATGAAAAACCATGATGAAACATGAACCATTTATGTGAGAAGCTAAGAAGCTTTGGGCAATGGAAAGTTCCAGCAGTGAGTGATGTGGCCTGTGTTTGGAAACATGATGACTTGGTGTGGCACTCGTAGGGGTTTGGGCTGGGGGACCAGTCAGGAGTGGCCAACCCAGGCAAGTGATTAAGAGGGCCTGAACTGGGACTGTGGCCAGGGACAGACAGGCGCAAAGCAGACAGGAGGCCTGGTACCTGTTGACTGAATGTTGGTTGGGGATGCAGAGGAGAGAGAGGCCAGCACAACTTGTTGATATTGGAGCTGATATTTTGGTCTCCATCCAACTGACTCAACTGGTTTGGAAGTCGGAATACAGGGAAGGGATATGAATAATTTATCATTCTCGAAAATCTAATTAACAGTGAATGCTAATTCATACTATATATACTTGACTCTCTGCAATATTTATTTATTTATTTGAGAGAGAGAGAGAGAGAGAACCAGCAGGAGGATGGGTAGAGGGAGAGGAAGAAGCAGGCTCCCAGCTGAGAAGGGAGCCTGACGTGGGACTTGATTCCAGGACCCTAGGATCGTGACCGGAGCCCAAGGCAGACACTTACCCCGCTCAGCCACCCAGGCGCCCCTGCAATGAATTTTTAGACTTAACAGTATATTCATGGATAACATTAAACACTTTAGCAACTGGAACAGCATGGCACAGTCCTTAAACCAGTTCCACATAGCCAGCATCTGCTGTGAGCTGCGACCCAGATGTGTCAAGGACATCCTTCCAGCACCATCAGCGCGGCTCTGTCGCATTCTTTGTATTAGAAGTATGGAGTTGCAAAGCCTGGCATGCATCACAATTCCTCAGCCATCCTGTACCGGTGGGTGGTCAGCTTCTATTACTTTGCTGCCACGGATAATGCCACAGTGAACATTCTGTAGAACTGTAGATCTACACCCTCTGGCTTTGAAAACACTTTTACGTTTCGTTGGATCTCATTTTCTCCTACCTTACATTTGCCTCCTCTACTTAATTTGGCACTGCAGATAATTGATTTTGAGTGTAGACCAATGTGTAAGCAAATTCAAGGCCCAACTCCAGGGCGGGCTTACCAGTTATTCTTCCAAGGCCTGGTACCCTTGACCCAGCTTCCCCAGCCAGATGTGCTCCCACGCTGTGGCCAATCAAGTGAACTTTAGAAGGAGAATATCCAAATTTTTTCTGATAGGATTTTTAAAGGAAAACAGAACAAATATTTTTAGAAAACCAGGAAAAATGGCTTAAATGTTCTTGACATATGCTTGACATGTTTGTCCCTCTCACATACAGGATGGGGACTAGTCAACAGACAAAGTGACCCCCACATCCCCCCTTGTCTGGCTGAAGGAGAAAGCACCAGGCAGGCTTGGAGGAATGCCTCCTGTCAGGTTCTTCTCCCTGTGCTAAGGGGCCTCAGGGTCCTCAGGAATAGAACAGCCCAGCCACTGCCTCCGTGGCTTCCAGCCCATGCTCATTCTTCCAGAGACCCAGCACACTTCCAACACAGGTCAAGTGTAGTTGTGCCCAGGCTGGTACCCATCTTACCTGTGTCCATCTCCTCCAGTTGAGGGCAACTCTACACATGTCTGGGCTGACTTTGGTTTTCAAAGAGGAGTTTTCAAGAATATTCACAAAATGACTATATGCTTAAGAGTTCACACACACACACACACACAACTTAAAGAGGAAAATAAGAGCAAGCATTTTTAAGTTTCATCTAAGCTTTGAGTTCTCTTGATGAGAACAGTGAAAACCAAGCAGTTGCCTTCACTTGGATGAATTTGTCATTTGATCAAATGTTCCGTCTTTTTCCCCACCAGTAATAACAATATTATGTGCTGCTTTTTAAAGAGTGTTTAAAAAAAAAAAAAAAAGAGTATTTTCACTCATTTACACGTCAATGGCTGGCCAGGATGTCTCCTAGTCATTAGGAGCCCCCTTCCTCCACTGCTGCCATCCTTTTATTATTTTTCCTTTCCTTTTCTTTTCTTTTAAATTTAAATTCAATTTGCCAACATATAGTATAACATCCATGCTCATCACCTCATGAGCCTGCCTTAATGCCAGTCACCCAGTTACCCCATCCCCCACCCACCTCCCCTTCTGCAACCCTTTGTTTCCCAGAGTCAGGACCCCTTTTAATCTCTGCTTTCTTTCTGTCTTTCTTCCTTTATGGCCTGGTATCTGAGATCAGCCCTCCTCCCCCTTCTCCTCCTCTGTCCCCATTGATTCACTGAATGTACCTCAGCAAATGCTTTCCCCTTCAGTTCAGCAAACACTTCCTCTCCTACAAGCCACTGCTCCTTATTTCCTGGGCCTAGAAGAGCCCACAGCCCAAGCTCCAGGATCAGCGAAGAAATTCACAAAAACTTAGGACAAGTTTTTCTCTGAAGAGGAAATGAATCTGATTTCATCCTTTGAATGCAAGGACCCATTCTAGGTACCTCCTGCTGCCCTGGTCTCCCCTGACAGCAGGAAGAGCAGACAAGCAGTGTGGGGGCACAGGTGAGTACTGGGCTCCCTGTTTCCTCTCCAGCTGCTTCCTCCTTGTGCTCAGGATTCCAGTGTCACCTCCCCTGGCTGCCCATCTAGGTGGGCTGCTGCTCCAGTCTCCCTCCATCCCATTGCCTTGGACTTCTTTATGGAACCGTCTCCACACATTATGAGAGAAGAAACACTTTCTCACTCACTGCGGATCTTCAGCATCTAGAACAGTGCCTAGCCCACAGCCAGCGCAGAGAAAAGTATTTGTTGAATGAATGAGTGAGCCCTCCTCCTTAAGAGTCTGAAAGGGTCATAAATCTTTAGATTTTACTTCACTGCATTCTATGGTGGGAAATTACTTTCTATAATGGGAGGGCATTTGGAGATTTATAAATGTCTCTGGGTATATCCCTCATAAATAGCAAAGTCTATTTTATTCTTTTAGAAAATGTATAGGTTATTGTGCCTGGACTGGACTGTAGACCTAACTAATTCACTGCCACAGAGCCCAATTTCAGTGGGAAAATGTATTTCACATTCTAAACAAATAGCATTCGCCCGATGGGAACAGTTTATAAACATTAAGGATAGGTTTACAATGCAATGAAAACTAACCAGCAGGAGAGAGGGTCCTACAAGCTGACCCTAGAAGTGACCTTGGGGGTGGGGTTAAGGGTGGGGAAGCATTTGGTGAAGAGCCTGTGAAGAGACATTGCCACCAAGTGGTGCTTTGCAGAACCACAGGCACTTCTTTCCCAAGAAGTAATTTCCCTTATATCTGCTCACCCTACACGAATGATTAATATCTCACATGTTCAGAACGCGTATAAGCTAACAAAAAAGCCAAAAAAAAGAGACTCAAATTCTTGGTATTATGATGCAAAACTAATTAAACATGATTTTTGGAAAAGCAACTTTTCTTACCGTGAGAACATCAATAAAATATGCCACCTCAGCACCAACAACTCGGAGATTGTTTACAGCATGGATGTACTCCAGGGAACCGTTAATCCAGTCTATGTTAATGCAGTTCACATCTTCTACTTGTAGTAACGCCTGGTACAAAGATTTATTATAAGTATTTAAGAAATAAGAATTAAAGAAAGCCAAAATGACTGAGCAACAGCTTCCATTATAAGAAATAACACTACTAAATATTGAGAACCTACTGCATGCTAGGTCCTGTCCTAACCCTTTTACATATATTGATTTATTTAATCCTCTTTTACAAATAAGGAATCCAAAGCACAGATAGGTTAATTAAACTTGCTCACGACCATGGTAAGTAGAACCATGGTATAAATTCAGGCATCTGACTCTACTATATGGCCTTACAAATAATTAATTGCTTACTATGTTAGCAGTCTATTAATCTTGAGTGTAAGAGAGAAAAATTAATTTCTTGGAGTGAACCTGGAAAATTTTTTTCCCTTAAGTGAGAAATTTATCATATCATTCAATCTTTCATCAGAAGTGAGAATTTATCAAAGAATAATTACAAAGAAATATGCTCCCATTATAATCTATGCAATTCATAATAAGTGAGCAGAAATGGGGCCTTGGGACAGGGACAATGTAACTGAATGGACAAATTTCCATGAATATGCATTAATATATGCAAAGTACATTCCTGTTAAATATACAGGTTCTACACTAGAATGAAGAAGAGTTTATTCACATCATACATGGCACATGTCTTGCTGCCACTTTCCATCTGATTTCCATCCAGGTATGTTGATGCGGGTCACCTTGTCTGTTCCAAAGTGCGAGGTTTGGATAGTTAGATAATTAACTGCACTGATCTCCTATTTCAAGTGAAAAGAGATTAAGGTAAAATAATAATTCAAAATTATTTGACATTTAGTAGAATTATTCTAACTCTGCTCAAAAGTCTTCCACTAAATTTGATTTAACAGCCTTCTTTAATATATTTTTTACCAAAGAGATAGTTACTGCTACACACTGCAAAGTACCAAGAAATTATTAATGCATTATAAAATACAATATACACATTTAATCACAAGGCAAGGAAAGAAAAGTATTTGATTTTAAGGCAAGGTTTATAAGACGATGCTGGGTCAGTTTCAATCCGGACTTCCATCAGCCTTACATTTGTATAGTAAATCTCTGTTGTCAATAGTGTGCTATTTGAGGCTTAGAAGCACGCTACAAAAGTGGCAAAACGGACTGTTCACCCCACTTTACAAGTGAGGAATAAAGGTGAGGATCTCATCACATGAGTACAATAGTATATTAAAGATAATTTTATGTAATTGCCTTAAATCTTCTTTTGTGTTTCTTGTATTTTGTTGGATTGTTTTTATAACCAACCAAACTCACTTTAAGTGACACTATGAATTTAAAGTGATTTTGTTATTAAGAGAAAAATGAAAAGGCACAATGCAGGTAATGCTCAAAATTCTATTTTGAGAAAAAAAATGAACACTCTAATCAGCAAATTGCAGGTTTGACAATGGTGAATCCTAAAACAAAGAGCCTTCAAACAAAGAGCCTATTACTAGCTACCTGTGTTTAATAGTAACATGCAAATTAATCATACAACTTGCTGGCTAGTTAAAGTATCTTCGAGATAGTAAGCAGTGATGAGAATCTTTAGTTGGTTTATGCAGTAACTATAATATAGTTATGCTTGTATCTGCCCATGCGCCAGGACTTGTTCTAAGCACTTTATAGTGTAGTTCATTTTAACTCCACAATACTGAGGTAGGTACTAACTACAGATTAGGAGAGGGCACAAATGAGAAATCAAGTCACTTGTCCAAAAGCGCTCCAGCCAAGGAGCCCTGGAGTGGGGGGCTGAAACCCACATGGTCTTTCTCTGAAGCCATGTGTTCCATCGCTGAGCTCTCAAGTTGGGATCTGACCATACTGTTTTACACTGATAGGACCCAGAGCAGATGTGGATTTGCTGATGTATCTGGGCTTTCCTGGAAGCACTGCTCTGCTGCATAATGGAATCCAAGTACAAAAACATTTGTCTATCTATATATCTAAAAGAATCCAGATGTTAATTCCAACTCCAGCTGGAGCTCCTTAAACACCAACTATATTTCTATTTCTATGTCAAAAAAAAAAAAAAAAGCAAATCAATTTGGGAAAGGGGTCTTGGGAGAAAAAGTTTCTTTAATCTTTCCCCATCATGAGAATAGCTGGATATGGGGCCTTGTGAAAGCTTCAAAGTGGCAATCTGACACGAATTGTGGGATCAAAGCATCCTTCACTGCCATGAAAGCCTTAAAGAATTTAATAAAGTAGGAAAGATAGAAAAACACTTTTGTTCACTTCATATTCAATCTGGCACACCCCTGTGAAATGGCATACTAACCCAGAAAACAGGAAACTCAAAACAACATCATATAATCAAGTCCAAGAAGACACCTCAGCTTCTGCTGCCACAAGCACAGAACCATACAAGGGCATTGGGACAGAACAGGTTACCCTCAGCAAGGGCTAGTTAAGGTCACAATGTTTAACTGGGTGCTCAGGCCTTTTCTTTTAATATCCTTTGAGGAATCATAGAACCTAACTGATCTGAGATCAACCCATTCTACAAAGCATGACTACACTCTAGGTGATCTCATTTGTTAGTAAATCAAAAGCAGTCACCAGTTAGGTATGTCCCAGCCTTGAGAAAAGCTACAGGCCCAGAGACTACTACTAATTATGCAAAATATGTGTCACCACTAGCGACTGTATGAGCCACTCTGGGGGATAGCAGGTTGGATTTATTCTTGCAGAAATGTAGCTGGGAAGACTTATGACTCTCAGAAGAGTCAAGTTTATTGCACCATGTTTAGCTTTAACAATTCCTCCCTCTGAGAAAAGAGTATGTTAACATTGCATGGCTAACTTCTGCTTCGTCATGCACGAAGTCAGATTTGCACAGTGTAGCATGTGTGTCAAGCCTGGGGCAAGTCAGGTTTTTAGTACTGTACCTTGACTTATCCTATATCCTCACTGTTGGTACAAAACATGCTGACTCCAAGACTCAGGCTTCCATCCATTGCATAATTCAGGTACAGATCTGGTTTGTTGTGTGTTTTTTTTTCCAAATGGAAGGGAGTGGAAAATTGTGAGGAATACTGCCTTTATGGTCACCTTATTAGGAGAGTGCTTGGTGTCTGATATTTTTTCATTGCCTTTAGCGTGGTCCAGATTCTCCTAAAGACTGACCTTCATCACTTGTTTTAGTGCCTGTGCTCTGCAAGTGTTCAAGTGCATGGCCACTATGCAGAAGGATAAAGAACCAATGAGTCCTAAGTGGATTGATCAAGACCAGGGGATATAGTTAGTCCTGAATGCACACACACATCCTAACCAGCTTACTGAAGGTGCTCCAAAATATTTGTATTCAACATAGATTCTCTTTACATTAAAAAAATTGTGGTAAAATATACATAATATAGAAATTAACATCTTAACCATTTTTAAGTACACAATTTAGCAACATAAAGCCACTAGTATTGTTGTACAACCATCAGTTCCATCCCTCTTGAATTTTTTATCATTCCAAACTGAAATCCTACACCTTTTTTTTTTTTTTAAAGATTTTATTCTTTCATTCACGAGAGACACACAGAGAGAGGCAGAGACATAGGCAGAGGGAGAAGAAGGACCCCAGGATCACGACCTGAGCCGAAGGCAGACGTTCAACTACTGAGCCACCCAGGCATCCAGAAATCCTACATCTTTAAATAGTAACTCTCCATTGTTCCCTCCTCCAGCCCCTGGTAACTATTATTCTACTTTTCTATCTCTACGAATTTGACTAGTCTAGGTGTTTCACGTAACGGGAATTATACAATGTTTGTCCTTTTGTGTCTAGCTTATCTAATTTAGCAAAAATGTTTTCAAGGTTTTTCCATATTGTAGCATCTACCACAATTTCATTTCTTTTTAACACTGAGCTATCTTCCTCTCTCTGCTTTTTAATAGTTATAGAAATCACACTTTTGAGTACACTTTCTTTGTAAATTTCTCTGTACCCAAAAGTAGGACTTTTCTTCTTTGTTTTAGATAGAGCTGTCATCTACAGAGCAAATGGCATATTCAGTGAAGAGCCCGGTGCCCATACGTGTGTGTGTGTGTGTGTGTGTGTGTCTATTAAGTGGACAGCTACAAATCAGAGTCTGTTTGTGTGGTGCGAAGGCAGAGCAGAGGCCATCTTGGCTAAATCTAATGGAAAGTAAGCCTCAAGGTTATACAGATGCAGGAAAAGACTGGAAATGATCTTGCTCTGGAGAATGCTCTTGCCCCACCTGGGTCTAGTATCATGCCTTTTTTTTTTTTTTTTTCTCTCTGCCTCTGAGATCATATCACTCTTTGGGCTTCAACTCTCACCTCTAGTTAAGACACTTTGGAATCTCTTTTTCCAGCTCTAGACTGCCCACTGAGCTATAAGACAAAACTTTTTGATAGCCTGCCCGAAACTCACTGGTCCAAAATATAACTCATTCTCCAGCATCCTCAATCAAATTTTCTTGACAAGGGGGTCATTATTCTTCCTATGACTCATGTATAAGATCTCAGGACAGCTTATGATGTTTATCATGTCAATTTTCTATTGTCATACTCATGCTCATTCTCTGGCTCAAGCTAGTTCTCTGAGTCTGATCCAAACTGCACTATAGTTTTCTAGCAACCTCGAAGAGAACTTTCTGTGGTGGTGGAAATATCCTATATTTGCACTGTCCAAAATGGTAGCCACTAGCCACTTGGAGCTACTGAGCACTTGATAGGTGGTTGGTGCAGCCAAAAACTGAATTTTTAATTTTATTCAATTTTAATACCTACGTAGCTCATGGTTACCATGTTGGGTGGCAGGGTACTAAACGGTCTGGCAATCACCTGCAGGCTCTCCCGGATCTGGTCAAGAAGGTGCACTGTAACCAGGGTAAATATGCTACAGCCTCTTTAAAAATTCCCAGTGGGGGACTCACGGCTCACAGGATGAACTCCAAAGACCCCAGGAAGGGGTTATATAATTTGTCTCTAAACTACTTTTCTAACTAACTCCATATTTGAGGACTTCCTTTCCATCCCCAGTCTAACTCAACATGTTGTATTCATCAGATGTACTCTGCAGGCTCTCTCCTGTATGAATTTGTCCACGCTGGTTCATTTGTCATTTCCCTGTATGTCTCTGCTTACGCAAGCCCTGCCCACCCTGCAGGACACACCTCAAACAGGTGTCTTCCTCAAAGCCTTTCCTGGCTCCCATCCTACCCCCAAGGGGAAGGTAAGTCCTTCCTCACTACGCTCCCAGATTCTTTTGGTTGTATCTTATGTAACAGGTCATCATCTGTGCTGCAACAGAGGTTAATTATTTATATACCCTATTTCCCCTAATATAATAAATTTGGGATACTATCTTGTTTATTCAATTTAATACATAATAGTTACTTTGTTCACAGTCTTACGCGTGGAAGGCTCTCAATGAATACATTAATTGAATGAAGTATCAAATTTACCTCATATGAAACAATAGATTCAGAGTAGTCTTTATATTTAAATACTAGGACAAATAATATGACAAGAAAATCTGGCTCACACACTAAATAAAAATATTTGCCTTAAAGTCAGTAGTTTATGACAGGGTAAGTTAGTGAACCTAGGTCTTCTGTATCTAGAGCTACATCTTCTATTTTAGAAAAACCTGTGTATGAAGGCAGCAAGTGAGCTTACCTGATAAGCTTTGGGATTATGTCTAGTGTAGAGCAGAAAGCGAGTATTTATCTCCTCTGGAGACCAGGGCAAACCTGCCAACTGTCTTGACCAAGTCCCAGTCCATGGTAAACCATCTTTAAAGCACCCCACCCTTTCATAGCAAACTTCTTTTCCTGCAGCAAAAAGATGGAGTGTCAGTATTGTAGGAAGCAGGCCCAGAGAGAGGCTGTGTTTCCCACCACGAGGGTTCTGAAATAAGTGTTTAAGTTAAGCAAGTCTGGCTCAGGAAGACTCTCTTTAAAATATGTTCTCCTCTCCCCTTCCCATATTATTTCCGACCATGACTTTGTAGATCACAGTGTGGCAGGGGAGAGCATAGTGGCTTTGGAATCAGACATTCCTGGCTTTGGGCAATTCTTTTACCTTTTAAGAGTTTCCATTTCTTCCTCTGCAAAGTGAAGTTAATCCCACTTACCTTACAGCCTTAATAGGAAGACTAAATGAACTATTACATAGGACAGCCCTTGTGAATGGGCCTGGACGTAAGAGGGGATACTGTGAATTCCCTGAATTCCTGCCTTTTCTTATGAGACTGAAAGTTTTTGATGAAAGGGATCTTGGAGTCCCCAGAGCCTAGCACTATGCCTGACATGGAGTAAGAGTCCGGCATAGGTCTCCCAAGAGTATAGTTGACAGCAAAGGTCTATTCAGTTGTAACCAAGTCTCTTTCTTCTGGCGCTCACCTCACTCATCTCCACAAAGAGAAGCTTTCGGGAAACTGAGTCTTAATGTTTCTGTCATCCACTGACTGATTTACCTTTTCAACATGGCCTTTCTTTTTCACTTAATAGTCAAAAACAACTTCATTTTCTGCTGTTTAAGGGAGGAATAATATTATTCAATAATAATTATTATTTATTCAATTTATTATTATTTATTCAATTGATTTTCATTTATTCATTTTGTGACTATTAGTATTGGAGGAGCTGTTCGAAGTCTTGAATTTGAGAGTTTTCTTTTATCACTTACCAAAAAATGTTGAATAAGTCTTTCACTTTTGAGTCCATCGGATTTTACTTTAAAATTTTAGGAGAGTTTGCGTTTTCTCCATTCCCTAATCTCATTGTTAATGAGATTCCGTAATAAATATAAAGAGAGAGAATAGAGAATTACAATTTTTTTAATCAAAGAAGTGTTTGTACATTAAAAAGAAATTGTAGATGATCAAATATCCCTTGCTCATCCCCAAACTCAGCTCTCTCTCCAGAGGCGGCAGTTCTTCTGGTGGTTACCCCCATATGTATATATAACGTGCTTACACTGCCAAGGTTTGATTTATTAACTTCAGTCACACATGATCTATGAACTTGCTTCAATAATAAATGAGGATTTAACCCACCTATCATTAGGATCAGCCAAGATCAGGGCAAGAAACAAATCACAATGGTTATTTTAACTGTGAGAGTTTAATAGAACGAATTGTTATCAATCAGGTATTGAAGGCAAAAAGGGAGACTGTGTAGTAGCTCTGATGTGACAACTGCAGGGAGCAGCTTCTATCAGGGGGCTGGTGAAAGACACAGAAGAGGTTCAGTTATTCAAATGAGGAAACTTGGAGGAAGGGCTGCTAACCCTGGGGGAGGGGTGCTGTCTCCAGAGCTGGGGTTTGGTCCCTGAAGAGGGGGGCTATATGGCTAGTGCTGGCATCTGTGAGTGGGCACCGTGCACCTGGTTCTGAGACTTTTAGAACGGCTGCAAACTGGAGCCACCTGCTGCTACTGGATGATTGTTCATGCAGGGGTGAAAAGTCATTGCTGGAAAAACACTGACAGGAACCAGGAGCCAATAGAAAGGAACACCTCCCTTCTCCCACATGGAGCCTCAGTGTCCCTCTAGCATCCCTACCAACAGCGCTTCTCTGGGAGTGGCTGAACAGGGTCAACTGTGGTTGTGCATCCCAGGCTGGCCAGGCAAGGGCTGGCCTGAAGCTCAGGACAAGAGCTCCTACAGGTCCTGCTGTCCATTGTCTCAATTCTTCCTTCTATGACACTATTTTTAGCTTTCACTGTAAACTTAAATAGTAACCTTTTTTTTTTGAGAGAGAGAGAGAGGAGAGAGAGAGCGCATGCGTGCATAGAGGCAGGAGGGGCAGAGGAAGAGGGAGAGAGAATCTTAAGCAGCCTTCATTACCCAGCATGGAGCCCAACGCAGGGCTCAATCTCAAAACCCTGAGATCAGGACCTGAGCTGAAATCAAGAGTAGGATGCCTAACCAAGTGAGCCACCCCAGGCGCTCCAGTAATCTTCTGTTTCTTGATCCATACCTCCTACTCCTCATAACTTGGCTGCCTACCTTTGCAAGACAAGTTTTAAGCCATGTTGCCTGTCTTCCTCCCATCTTCCAAGATTTGCCAGCTGCACTTTGACTTTCATACCGTCAAAGTTGATAACATTCAGACTTTGTTCTATAATCATAATTAAGTCTTTCATGTTTTGTCTGTAGGCTGGCTCCAAAAAATTGAATGTCAATAAACAGAATTTATATTATTATGACTAGATAAATATTTTTCCTTTCAGAGCCAGCTAGCATGCTATAATTACATTTCCTTGTCTGCACTCTTTATTCAGTTTCCCATTCCTTTCAAAGGAGAATATTCAAATGAATTATCTTTTCATAGACATGAAGTGCTCAAGATCAGTGTCATTTTAGTTTGCTCCATATTTGGATCATGATTTTCTTGTGCTGTTTTCATTTTCCTGGATTCTCTGGTGCCTTTGTTTTTCTAGTTGCAAGAGTAAACACGTGCCCTCTTCAATGCATCCCTAGTATAGTGCGACTCCTCCATCAATATTTCTCCTGCCTGGAATCTATTCTGTTTTTTCTGTTGAAGCACACATCTATCCAGTTCTTATTTGGACCAATGAGTTCACATTCGATCGTGCCTTTTTAAAAAAGATTTATTTATTTGAGATAGAAAGCATTGGTGGGGAGGGGCAAAGGGAGAGGGAAAGAGAGAATCTCAAGCAGACTCTACATTCAGCAAGAGCCTGACTTGGGGCTCCATCTCATGACCCCGGGATCATGACTTGAGCAGAAATCAAGAATTGGATGCTTAACCAACTGAGTTACCCCGGTGCCCCTGGATCATGCCTTTCTAATTATAACCTTCTGTTTTTTCTAGAATATCTAACTGACTTTATTTTTTGCATTGCCTGGCTTCATACTCTCTCTCTCTCTCTCTCTCTCAATACATTATTCAGTCTATGGAAGTGAGTTTGGATTTTGAAATGAAGAATGTTGTAAATACTCTCTATCTTCTATGGTTGTAACTTACCAGGGTCCTTTAAATTTTCACTTCTTGAATTGCCTAAATACTTGAATATATTTGCATTTCTGGCCCTTTGCACATCTGTGGGTGAGATCTTCGTGTCCTATGCACTTTTTTCTGATTTTTTGTAAAAACTCTTTGAATTGTAGAGAGATTTGCTCCTCTTTGGTCAGCTATTGAGAAAAGATATTCTAGTTTGCTGTTTATATTTTTGTTTTATAGAAGTTTCACATTTTACCCAACAAAATGATCAATCTTTTCCTTTATGGCTTTGGGGTTTCTTCTTGTTTAGAAAAGCCTTCCTTACTTCAAGACTATTAACAATGTCACTGTTTTCTTTAATACTTTTCTTGTTTCACACTTTTATTTTAAATGTTCATTGATCTGAGATTTATTTTGGTATAAAGAGTAAGATTTCCATCTAGAATTTCAATTCAATTTATATAGGTATAATCATTTTAATTTCTTCCACATCTGTGGTTATTTCCCTGTGTTTATTTAAGTCTGTCATCATGGTTTTCTATTTTTCTATTTTTTTAGTTTTATTAAGCAACCACCACACATATCTATCAATTAGATTGCTTTTCTCATATTTTTCCAATGTATTAACCTCTACTTTTATTTTCATTAATGAAATTCTTCCTTCACTGTTACTTGTTCTTTTTCTAGTTTCTTCAGTTCTTGAGTCATTATATTTTGATATATTCTGCAATTGAAATGTTTTATTTCCTCTTTGACCTAAAAGTTCTTTAAAAGAGCATCTGAAATATAGCACATTACGTGAAGCTAAGTTTAATTGGTTAAGAAATCATATAGGTTGGCATATCAGTTCATATTTTCTTAATTCCCATTCTCTAAATGAGTCATTTCTCTATCTTACCATGAGCAGCCTTTCTTAATGACATGAAAATCTTTAAAACAGATTCATTAATTTATTCAAGAAATATTTATTCGAGTGCCTATTATGCACCAGATATTATTCTCAGAACTGGGGATTCAACAGTGGGAAAAATAATCCTAGCCCTCGAGGAGTATAGTCTAGTGGGGTTGTAGGGACAGTGAATAAGTAAATAAAATGAAGGTACGGGTGTGTTTAGGTGGGGAGGGGCTTACTGTTTAAATAGAGTGGCCAGGGAAGACCTCATTAAAGTAAGTGTTATTTTTTTTTTCCCTTAGGCAGGTTCCATGCCCAGCCCAGAGCCCAACATGGGGCTTGAACTCACAACCCTGAGATTAAGACCTGAGCTGAGGTCAAGAGTCAGACGCTTAACAAGTGAGTCGCCCATGCACCCCTAAAATAGGAGACATTTGAATCCATAACTGAAGGCGGTAAGGAGCAAAGTACAGGGATTTCTGGTGGAGGGCAGCATTCTAGACAAAGGGAAGGGAACATTCAAGCCTCTGGGGGGAAGGAGTGTGCTTAGGATGACTGAGGAATTATGAAGAGGCCACCTTGACCAGAGCTCAGGGAACAGTGAGGAAAGACATGTCCACTGCACCTTATTCTGTGGTTTCAAAATCTAAAAATCTCTGGGGAAAAGAAGTAGGGTTTTGATTTTCTTGTTCCTCTGTTTTTCAATTTGCAGCAGACTCATTTGGCAGCAAAAACTGACCTAAGGCTATATATATACATTTGTTATCCCACATAATATGAATATTCATAGATTTTATCACAAA